GCGAAGGCGATTGCGACACTTTCTCCGACATTAAAAGCTTTGAAAGTGTAGAATTCCAAAGAAGATCTATCGTACACGTCTGTTTTAGTTTTGGGCTTATCAAGTTTTTAACTTGATCCATGACACCTTGTCAAATACGTAGGATGACTTTCTTGTGTGTTTTGGGCTTATCTAGTTTTCTTGATTAATCTATAATAGGGGTGGCAAGTTTTTTATCTACAATCGGTCAACTCACCAGCAAGCAGCAGTCGGGCGAGCCAGGATTTTGTGCAACTTAATTTTTTAAATTTTAAAATATAATTATAACATTATTTTCATTTAAATATGTATTCTTGATAAACTGTTTATTTAGATGCGCAATAAATATGTATTCATAATTACATCAAATGAATGTCATTTAGATTCGCAATTCATCTATATGAGTGATGTACAAAAAAATTCAACAAAAAAATTCCACATCAAGAGTATCCTTTATTGTTCGAAATCCTACATAAAAGGAGCTCTCAACTCTCAAACATCCAATAAATTTTTATAATTGTTTTCAACGAGTTTTCGTATTTTGAAACCGTTGCATAATCATTTTATTTTGAATAACACTTGAAACATCTTTTCTCAATATATGCAACCAAGTAATCATTTATTCATTGATTACTCATTCGATTGCACAATTGATTCTTTACTATGTCCATTGCTGAAAATACTCTTTCAACGCTTGAAGTGGCAACTGGTAAGATAAGTGTTAATTTGATGAGTAAATATACCAACGAATATACTATATTCTTTTAGTCTAATTAGATTTATGTTTAAGAGCTCATTATTATGTTCGTAACAATTGAGATAATGGACTACACATAATTAAAATATAATTCATAAATCCAAAATATAATCCAAACTAGAATTTCAAGAAATCAATTAAAGCAATTTAATCATAAGGAAGAAAAATAGCACTAACCAAGAATTTCAGATAGTCAATCCAAACATGGGATTCAACAAAAATCTAAAGTAGTTGAGTGATGACCCAAGACAAAACAAAAAAAACCTACATAAGTCCATAAATAATACACCAAACAATCATCAATTCTACAAGAGTTCAACTAATTTTCTAATATAAAAAATTTGATTTTAGATTAGTGCTAATACTACTATAAAAAAATTTGGTTAATGAATTACCTCTCCTTAACTTCAACATAATCTTCTAGAGTTTTTTCAAATTTGATTTGTACAATAATTGAATCCAATAGACTGATTTGTTGATAAATACACTAAAGGAACTAATAAAGAAACTAAATAAAAGAAAGAAGAGGGGTTGGACGCCTGGACTGAATTGAAAGTCTGGACGAAGAAGACAAAGGCTTACGAGGAAAAAAAAAACAGTCTTGAAAATGAGCTGCCAAAAGTTAGCTTTTAAGGGTTAAAAATTATATTAATATACCTTATAACTTAAGAAAATTTCAGTTGGGCAAGTTTAAGAAATTCTTGAAATTTTTAAAATTACACTTAGGTCCCAAAATTTTTAAAATTTTCAGTGGAGGCAACTGCTTGACGTGAAAATTGAGGAGAAGTTGTCAAAAGTTAGCTTCTAAAGGTTAAAAATTATATTAATATACTTTATACTTCAAGAAAATTTCAGTGGAGGCAAGTTTAAGAAATTCTTGAAATTTTAAAAATTACACCTAGGTTCTAAAATTTTTTAAAATTTCAATGGGAGCAACTGTTAAGCGTGAAAAATGAGGATGAGCTATCAAAAGTTAGCTTTTAAGAGTTGAAAATTATATTAATATATCCTATACTATAAGAAAATTTTAGTGGGAGCAAATTTAAGAAATTCTTGAAATTTTTAAAATTACACCTAGGTCTCAAAACTTTATAAAATTTCAGTGGAGGTAGCTGCCCCCATACCAAATCCACCACTGAGTAGCAGGTTGGGTACACATTATTTTTGCGGATTGTATATGAGTTAGATAATATCAATTAAATTAACTAAATCATTTAAAGCGAGTTGAATATGAGTATTTGACTGCTTGAATTTTAATAATTATCAACTCGATATACATATGCTCTTCGAAGAACACCGCCATAGCTATTGCAGCTGCCTTTGTCAATGGCATGCAATCGAGCTACCATGAAGAAGAACAGGATAGACAAAGAGACAGACTTTTTAGTTTTTAACGATAATCCGGCACAACACTGGTACCAACAATGCTCAAATGTTCGAACATTAGTGGGTAAAGAAAAAGGGAGTTAAGGAGTTGAATCTTTTTTTCTTTCTTTCTTTGGTTGTTTGAGTTCGAGGAAGCAAGGCCCTAGATTATGATAGTTTTGAACCAAGTCATGGTTGGTACAAGAAGGAAAAGAAATGAGTTTTTTGTCTAATCACAAGCAATTTTGTTTCTTTTACCATCTTGTTCGAAATATCAATTCGATACAAAATTAGTGTGTGCGTATATAAAAAAAAAAAAAAAAGTATTGTGATTTGAATGATAAAGCAAACCTACTAAGCCAAACAGGTGCACGGGGAGACGTGTCGGGTGGAAACGTGATAGAATAACGAATGATATATAATCATCTAATTGTTTGGTATCGAACAATGATATAAGACAAAGAAAATTAAGAAAAATCAACAATGGCGACGTGTACGTAACTGCCTTTGTTTGTATTTTAGGTTTTTCAAATTAGATCCACCTGGCATTTTTTTATTTTATTTTTATTAGAACCCACGTGACAGTTCCCCAAAAAAACAAAAGTTAGATCCACATGCACATCCCAAATTGCCGAACTAGCTTTTGTCGTGATTGAAACTACTACAGTGCTTGAATAAAAATTGACCCGAAAATTAAAGTGAACTCTCTTTTAAGTTCATAACAGCCACCCTCAAGTGAGAATTTTAATAATACGTATACAAAATTTAAAATATTTAAATTACAAGATTGAGATTATATTTGTATGAGTTATGATATTTAATCTTCGGATTTTTTTCACAGAAGGACAATATCTCCCTCTTCTCTCCAAGTAATAGATGGTTTTTATCGTCCTAACCACATCAACTAAAAAGATGTACATCAGTCCATCAAAATAGATCACTTAATAATATTAAAATAATTTCATTAGACCATAAATTTAACATGTTTTTCACATATTCAAAATTAACTATCAATTAAGAAAAGCACAATACCAAAAAATTCTAATGGTTTAGTAATTGGATTCGTAAATATCTTTGGGAAAATATATTAAAAAGTGAATTTCAATATCTTATCTAAAATACTTATTAATCGTTGATTTTTTTTTAAATTTTTTTTTTTTGAGGGGGAGGGGAAAAGGGGGTTGAACTCTTGACCTTAAGAAGACAAAATTTTTATAAGGTAAGGAGTACTATTAGACCAAAGACTTATTAATATTAATTGTTGATTTGGTATTGATTTGTTTGCAGCATTCAACTACCAAAAAATAATAAGAATAATTTAAGACACATTACACTTTATTTTTTAGTATCATAGTTGAACCCAAATATTATATATATATATATATAAGAAACAAAGGAAGGCCCATGTTTATAGTCAAATCTCGAAAAATTAACAGATAATCAACATTACTTGTGTTTAAAGAAAAATCAATTACTTCTAACTCGAATATGAGATATATAGAATTTGTATAGGTGAAAGATTTGTCAACGTTACAAGCGTTATCTTTTTTCTTTTTTTTTTTTGTGGTCAGGGTTACAAGTGTTATCTAAGAATGCAAAATCTGCCCTACGCCTGAGCATGACTGAATTTGTTTTTTATTTTTATTTTTCTATGTCTAACTTGCCCACGTAGAGCAAGTACGTACTCACCAAGGTGTATTTTACCTACCCTGCAGAGAGAATTCTACTCCTCAAGAAGCCTTCATCGAGTGGGACATAAAATATAAATAGATATGATAGTTTACAATTAAAGAAAAATAGGATCCTTTTTTAAATTAAAAAAAAATTATATAATTGACCTCAAATAGTTGTAGTTGAGACTATATTGAGTTGTCTTATAATTTGGGGGTACTTGGGATCGACTCTAACAACATTGAGATTGATTCTGAGTGATCCAAAATTCATAAAAACCATTCTAAAAGTTATAAATGATTTTTAAAATCTAAAAATGAAGCCCCAAAAATTATCATCAATGCTACACACACCAATTTTTCTACATCATCTTTGTGCACCACCTCAACATACACTATTAAATTAGTAAGTTTTACAAAATTTATTAAATATCCAATAATTCTGATTGTGTCACATCAGGTGGTGTAAGAGAGGGGATTGTCCACAACATTATTCAAAAACTATTAATAACTCCCAAAATTAATAAACAAAACCACAAAACTTGTAAATGGTGGTTCTATCATAGTCATCTCTTTCAATGAGAAATTCTAGTAATGAGAAGCCATCACAGTGAAAACACAAAGGCGCCTGCCTTTTTTAGGCCCTTACTACACAACCCTTCATACATATATTTGGTGACAAAAATGAGAGGTGAAAATATAAATAGAATTAAATCTAAAATAATTTTGAACAAAATAATATAAAAAAAAAAAAAAGCAATGTTATATGGACTTAAAAAATAGACTTAAAAATTAGACTTGATAATTTTAACCATTAATTTTACTGTGGGTCCTAGTATTTATTGGAACCTACTATCTATTCAATGATTGAGATTATCAAATTTAATTTTTAAGTTTATATAGTATTACTCTAAAAAAAAATATGTAGTTCAAGATCTAATGACTATAACCCAGAGTACAAGAGAGGAATACGACTCGTGTAGCTGAGCTTTTTAAATTGATTTAGGTTGTATCTCTTTCTCTTACCTAATCCATACGACCGAGTTTGCGTCGACTTGATTTGACCCTAGAACCAACCGGGTTCGTACTGATCCACGCAACCACTCCACTTCTACAAAACCTCAACCTTAAGAAGTGCAAGAAATGAAAGCCTAGAGACATTCTTCAAGACAACCTTTGTTCATTTCGATCACAAACCAACATTCTTGGAGAAGGTCCCCCCATGGCTCCCCCAATACTCTTCCGAGTCATTCTTCTGTTGCTCCTTTCCGACATAATCGCGTCACGGTCCATCGTCAAGACTCTCCCTGGCTATCCCACCGATCTCCCATTTGAACTCGAAACTGGGTAACACTTTTCTTCTTTGTTCGATTTACTTTCATTACATGCGATTTCTTTTTTAGTGAAAAAAGTAAGAGGCAGAATTACGAATTTACGACAATTTGGGGGTGAAGTTATGTTGGTGTAGGAGAAAAGGATGACGTGCAGTTATTCTACTACTTTGTCGAATCTGAAAGGAGTCCAAAAGATGATCCTCTTATACTTTGGCTCGCCGGCGGTCCTGGTTGTTCTGCTCTTCGTGCCTTCTTCTATGAAATCGGTACGTTTGATATTCTTAAACTCATCAAAAAGAAATGAACTGTAAGCATAGGGCACACACTGTTATATTGTCTGCCATGAAATCCACGTTGCAGGACACACACTGTTATATTTGTCTGCCAGGAAATCCAAAGCAACGTGGGGAAGGAACTTTAATTTTATTTTTTCAGGTTTCATGTGTCAAAATAAGCCCTGGAGTTTGAAGATAAAACTCGAATAGAAAAAGGTCCAATAGAAGTGACACTCCATGGGATGGGACGGTTTTGTTGTGAGGGATTGACTAGTTTTGACAAACTCTTTCAAATCAAATTCTGTGTACATCAAATTCATATATGAATCATATTTATCCCCATGTTTGATAAATAATATATGCATACGTGGGACCTACAAATTTATCACAATTATCAACATATATTTGTTTTGTAAATGATTATGTTATTCATTGGTTAATTTAATTCATACTCGTGTTTATTTAATTATAAAGAAAAATAATTGGGAGGTTGGGATATGATTGAATAGATATCATATTTTATTAGGGATAGAAAAGGTAATTTGACATAATTAACCTAGGATAGGATATATGAAACCCACCATTTCTTGGGTTTGTCCAACCCATATATGTAGGTTTAATACACCGGATCACTTACGGGTCAAAATATGAATCTCAAATTTAAAAATATTAATCAAATACGATATTGCGTGTTCTATCAAACTATTTTTTTAAACCCCCTTCCACCCCCCCCCCCCTTCTTTCCAAAACCGATAAACAAACAAGCTCCATAGTTTTTGATCTTATCTACGATTGTTTTATTTTATTTACAAATTATGGTATAAAAAAAGTGTGACTTAAACCGAAGCTTTTCACTAGACAAAGATAAATTCAAAACACACTTTCAATACAGGAAAAAAAAAAACTTTAAAACTGTGTGAACCCACTCTTTCATAGAAACTACCATAATTTAGTAAACAAGTTGTAAATAATCGCACTTTGGTAAAGAAAGTTCAAAAACTACGACAAGTAGGATCATTAAGTCTATAATGATCGAATACCAAATCTGCTAGTATCACATCATCTCTTGTTAAATAATCCATTTTATCCCCCAAAAGTGTTGAAAAGATAAGAAATGTAAACATCATTTGCCCAAAGTTAGGACGTGGAGCAATAAAATACACCAGAAAAGATAGGCACAAGCGACACTTAATGTGAGATAATTATTGGCACCCAACGT